ATTTCACTTATTTCCTTCAATAATGGCCAACAGGCCAAGGTGGTGTTTACCACTTAGAGACTTTTGGGTAAACAATTATTATTAGCTTCGAAAAGTTTGTATGGAGCAAGGTACCAAGCTAAATATTGACCATTTAACTGGCTTCAATATACAAAAACACTTCAGGAATTCAGATCTTCTAGACATTGAAGAGTCACATAACAGATACAGGTAGGTACCTAGCTGATAGCACAGAGCACAACACTATCAATAGATCTACTAGTTTTATGTCATATAAATGTACCAGACTACCCTTTATACACACTGACTAGTATAGTGACTGAGTGACTGACTGCACTGTTCCCATTTAATTCAGACCACAAACCAATACTAAACCTAAACTGAACGATAACCAAACAAACCTCAAACAATTTGAAACAATACTTATGTTATGAGTAAAGCTAACACTGTTTGAAATAATCATATTCACAATTCAAACATTTTATTTCCATTCACTGCATTTAATTATTTTATATATAGTTTTATAATTGTAACTGTTTTGTTTCTAGTTGCAAATTCATATATTTAAGGATTGAAATTAAATATTTTAATTAGAATTACTAGTATTAGGGTGTAAAATCTTTCTAATTGCNTTAAGAATCGTTGACTTATCTAATGGCTTAATGAACACTGACATTGCTATACCACACTATGTAATCATTCTGCTCAGTACTTTTACTGCAGAACTAAAGCAGTTGTTATGGGCTGTCTCTCCTACTGCTTGTGAGTGGTGCTACCTTGAAGCTTGAACCCGCCTAGGGAATTTATGCTCTGCAAGTTCTTATCTGATTTTAAACTAGATTAAAACTTGATAGCCACATTGAATACGTATTACTGATTCAGTGTTGTTTGTGCATTCCATCTCATTCTGTCATCATTCTCTTTGCTTTTTGCAATCCATTTTTATGGCAATGATTGTGTTGTTAGAAGCTGCAACCAGTCCGCCTAAGACAAGCCACTTGTTACACTGTACTCTTGGCTATTGAGCTTATGAACTAAGTTCTTGAGCTTCATTGTTGTTGTAATCATGGAAGGAACACAAATAAAGAAAATGAATATTATTAACCACTTAATAAGCAACTGAACTTTTTGTAAAACTATCTGATTGTAACCTGTCTCTAACCAGATATCATAGTATCACAACACCCAGTAAAGCACTCATCCTCGTAATTGCAGTTACTTAGAGTTGCCTGTGGATTTCATGATTTTCCATCATATGCATACTCATTTACCATAATTTCATGTAAGAGTTGCCTGTGTATTTCATGATTTATCATCATATGCTTACTCATTTACTATAATTTCATACTCTGTAGCATAGAAATCTCAAGTACATGTTCAAACTTGAAATGCCTAGAACCCCCATGGAACTAATAAAAGTCCAGTAACAAGTTCAAACCAATGTCAGTTGGAAAAATTTGTCAAAAGGCCAGTTTTTTATATCTGCAGATAAGTCATGAAAAATACAAGAATTGGCAACAGGCTATTCTCCAGCGCTGACGATACTAAACTATGCTATGCTAGGTACCTATGCTATTGCCATTTATGATGGTTACTTCATTAGAATATAATCAATTGTTACTTGTAATTATATCTTTATGCTTCCTCAAACCTGGTACAATGAGGATTTGTTATCTAATTGAAATTGTAATAAGAATCATTACAAGACAAATACCATAAAATGGGGTAACATTGACTACTTTTTTTTTTAAATGATGCCATTTTTTTACTAGATAAGTTAAACTTAAATTGAAACATGCAAAATACAGGTCTATACTCTAGCTTCAATCACCATAAATTGCTGGCTCCTGATACCATAAATTGCTGGCTCCTGCCTCTCATAGTTTTGATGTAATTTCAAAAAAAGTGATGGTCTTTGTTACCCCACCTCTTGGGGTTTCTTTGACCGGGTGGTAAAATAAATTTTATTTATTGGTAAAATATTTCCAAATAACTCCAGGTTGTGGTGCACTGTAGTAGAACTCATCTAGTTACATATGCAAAAGACAAATTTTAGGAAAGTGTCATAGTTTGCAAATGGGAGGCGCTGCCCCCCAATGGGCGAAATGTGACCACCTAATGGCAGCCGTGACGGGGTAACATTGACCGGTTTGGAAATTAAGCTAAAATTACCATATATAAGACTCTGTAGAGTCTGAAACATACAAAAACATTAATAGGTGTATCAAACATAAAATATGTTAAATAGGTACCTATGGTAATTTTAACTTAATTTCCAAGCCGGTCAATGTTACCCTGTCAGGGCTGCCATTAGGTGGTCAAAGTTCCCCCATTGGGGGGCGGCGCCCCTTATTTGCAAACTATGACACTTTCCTAAAATTTGTCTTTTGCATATGTAACTAGAAGAGTTCTACTACAGTGCATCAAAACCTGGAGTTGTTTCACCAAAAAAAATAAAAAAATTGGAGGGGGGGTACTCCAACAGGCTTTAAATAACAGCTCTTTTTCGTGGGTCACATTTTTAATTTTTTAACCTATTAGATATGCAAACTTTTTAAATCTTTCTATTGTGTTACATAGCCTCAGTATTAGGCCTTTGATGGCCATTGACAAAATTTTTCTATGTCAAATCGTTTTTGAGTTTTGGGGGTTTTTGTTAAAAAAACAAAGAGTGGTCAAAGTTACCC